ACTTCTTCCCCAGGTGGTGGAGACGATAACCAACGACCATATTGTAAATTAACATCGATTGATTTGTTTTTTTTAGTTTCGTTGAACTCCATCTTCAGACGCTAAAAATTTAAATATAAAACGACCCAAACCTAAACTTTTCTCGCTGAATACATGCACTGCATGTTAAAATGGGTGACATGTGTCCATATTTATACAATGCATAACGGAAGTGGAGGGAATTTAATCACATTATGAGTCACTAAACTAAACCTGCTAAAAGAATTTCGTAATAGATTGTATTACAACAACAAGTCTGATATTAAGCACTGCATTAATAATATTGTGAAGATACCGTGAACCTAAAAAATAAAATGTACTTAAAAAAAAACTCACGTCTGCGAATATCCCATTTTCGTGTATTCAAAACAAACTGATATTTTGTCTTTAGACTGTAATCCTACTCGTGTATCACCATTAGAGAACGGATTTTATGAAATTTGCATATCCGTTATTTTTTGCATATAAGCCTTGCTATTTAATATGTGAACGAATCATGATAATTAAAAATGAATACAGCTATATAAAAAAATGCATATTTGCATATATTTGCCTTCTGCAGCATATGTCACATAACGGATGCATATTTTGCAATGATTGTCATTCTATCGGCATTTATCTAGAAAGACGAAATTTCATGAATCATATATTGTCCAGAACTTCAAATAACTAGGAATAGTTATTAGTTAGTTAATTATGGTAGTTTGGAGACACCACTGGGTGTTAAGCCAAGCTTCCAGGTAAATTCGCGCCCTAATTACTTTTGGAAATACTGTTCATTCCCAACATTTTTAGTATAAGAATATTATCTTTAAAAATGTGACTTACGTATTTTTTGCAAAAAAACGTAAGCTCGGGAAACCTGTTTTTATAATTTATAAATAAATTTAGTTCGCTTATTAAGCTTTTTTTTTAATTTTCGGAGCATATGCAACTGCATATCTCTGCATATATTAAGAAAGTTACTGCATATTTGCATAAATTTAGTGCATATCATATGATCATATTTCCCAAAATTTTGCTGCATATTTTCCGCTCTCTAATCACCATAATAAAAAATAAACCTTAATACAATTGTTATCAGACTTAAAATATTCAGTCCACTAATATTATTTCTTCAGCCGTAATTTTCAGCATATAGTTAAAATATCGATATATGATAGCCTTAGATTTTTGATGACGACGAATAAAAAAATTTTTGGTAACGTTTTATAATATAAGCAATGATAATAATTTAAAACACACCAGAAATTTGGCAATAAACAGACAAAAGACAATTGATGCAGAGGAGTGGACGAACAAACGGAAAAGCAAGACGGCATTTTCGTATTTTACGGACGAAACGACGAAAAACTTTAAACTAGACGTTTCAAAAATTAATTCGATAAAGGTACTTCGAACTTCTATATCATTTAAATACAATAGCAAAAGTATTTATTTACATATATTTGAATGAAACTTTTCCAAATATATTTAAATCTATGACGCCTGTCTGTCTGTCTGTCTGTCTGCCTCTCTGCCTCTTCAACCAAACTTTGTCTGTATGTCGGCATCACATATTTGATAAATTATGATCTAAACAGCCTATTGAAAAAAGGATCGTACGCTATGATTATTGTGTTTGTCATGATTTTTTACTGTTGTAGAGAAAACTATTCTTAAGTAGGTACAAATAGCCTATGTCAATCAATACTTTTCAAGAAAGCTAGTCAGCATAATAGTTGTTACAGATTTTAATTATACATAAATTGAGTGATACGTTTTTACTATGTATAAATAAAATAAGCGTAACTAACACATGCCTGCAAAATTTCAATATTAAAAACCTGTATGTTTTAACCACTGTTTTGCATTTTTGTTGTATCCCTTATTACGAATATGAAATTCATTTTTTACTATCACGTAAGGTTTATTTCGAAAAACATTAGGACTTTATTTTGTCTCAACTTTCTGTTGCACTTATCATTATGACTTCAATTTGACACTACTTCTGACACTGAAACATATATGAAATTTTGGTTTTCTATGCTTTTTATAAATAGACAAGGTTCCAATTTACACTTTTTGTACTCTAATCTAGTTAAAAATCATCTATGTATATATCTATACAATACTTTCTTCTCGCTATCGATCTTACGTTTCAAAATCCATTTGCTATCAACCATGGTGCGTCTTCTGGAGCATCTACCAATTTCCCAGGTTGCAGTTTCCTCGAAAGATTTTAACTCTTCCATCATGACCCTTTCCCACAGCTTCCTGTTAGGCTGGGACATCCACTCGGAATATCTAGGTACTTGGTCATCTATAATTCCAGCCAATGTGAGTTTCGTCTAGGTCTTTTCCATGTATTTGTTTTTTTTCGGCCCAGTTATTATGTTGTCTAGTTTATGCGGTGTGGCGCGAAATAGTTCGTATCTTTCTGTGCATCTCAGAAAATATTCTTTCAATTCTGAACCTTGTCTCTTGCATAAATTTTCTAAGTTCTGGTGTGACGTTATTTCTCGTGTGGAGGACTACGTGGGTAGGCAAGCAACATTGCGCGACCGCACTTAGTGTTACTGACCCGGACACCAGTCGTTAAGCGGGTCGGAATGTTGAGAGCGCAGACGCGGTCGTACCGAGGGAAAAAAGTTATTTCTCTCTAGAAGGGTGGAACGGAAAGAACGTCGAACGTAGGGATGCGTTGAGATTCCCAGGAAGTTTGTGGGATTTGTAAAGCACCGTAAAAGCTGACAAGATCTCTAGAAAAATGTATAGTGTGTCTTTTAAAAATCAGTGATATGTGGTACAGAAACAAAAAGAATAGAGGGTATCGAAGCGAATTTATATCATGTCATTTGCTTTCTTAGGCGATTACTGGTATTACTTATCTACATCTATTTTAATGTATAGAGGTTATCACGAACACAAATTCACACAGTAAAATTTTTTAAATTCTCAGAGAAGCGGAATTTGTTGCATTGCAGTTCGGGGGCGAGGGACGAAATATGCAATCGAATGAAGTTTCTTATCATTTGAATGCAATGGTGAATTTATTTTACATATGTTTCTAAAAGAAGTACTTAAACATATTTTGAAATGTAAATTGTGCAAGTGTATTTAAAACTATGCAAGTTGCACTAACCTTCATGTCGCATGTTTCTGAGTATAATTTTTAAATGTAGCAATATACAAGGACAAGCAGGTAAAAGAGGCACCTACGTATGAAGAAAAGTGTGAATTGTCAAATACTGTCACATAAGAGCTAAGGAACAGTTATCTTCACAGCCTTGGTTAATAGTGTAATCAGAAATGACTGAGGTAATTTAGGAAATAGACAAAAAAATCAGACCTCTCAAAACCGACGGTCAGAAACGTAGCGGGTGGTGCAACGAAATTCCGATGGAATGTTACGGAATCTCGCCGATAAGATGTGGTGGCAGCGTACCTGGGTGCAAAGGCTTAGGTTGACTAGTGCTCAAGGAAACACGTTTTGTCGACCTAGGCTTATGCGACGACCTTCACGCCGCTGGAGGAGGCGCCTTCGGTTAGGACCGGCGGTCGTTCGGACGCCGGGGTTGCTCTCAAGCCGGAGACACGAATCTCAGGTGGTGAGCACCCGCGAAAACAAGACAATAAAATAAAACGGAAAGAAATGTTTAAAATAAATCGGGTTTATTCCCTGCCACCAGCTACACATCTAAAATAATAAATCTTAAGGCTAAGTCTTAAGAAAAATAAATACAAAACGTTTTTACAAAGAAAAGAATAAAACTTCCGGCACGGTCGTTCTGGGCTCCTGGACGGTGACTTCCTTCAAGGCGGACACCTTCTGGACCTGGGGGCGGCGACCTTGAAACCTGCAAATTGCGCAATACGGCGACCCGGGAGGGGAGCGCGGTGTCGGTACACGAAAAAAGAAATGGTGACCGTGGTATAGTTTTTCGTTCAGGGGTGGCGACTCAAAAACCGTTACGCCGACAGGCAGAAAACCCAAGATGATACTTACGGTGGTTTCAGGGCTTCTCCAAAGAAAACTAACTACGACAACTCCTTTCACCTCACAGCACTTCTACACCCTTCAAGGCTTCAGACAGGAATCCTCTTCTTCCGCCGCGGCGGCGCGCCGATAGCGGCTTTATAACTCGGTTGTCGGTACGCGTCCCGGTTTCCGGCCCGCTAAAATTCGCTTTTCTGCATTTATATTATACTTCATGGTGCGGTGTTGAGAATTTGTCGTGATGGTGAAAGTAGAATATCGAGCCGTCATTAAATTCTTTACAAAACAAGAAACCAATTGATATAGTTGTCACCAGTGATGAAACACGATCATTCATTATTATGATGCGGGTGAAATCATTGCTACCATTTTTTGGGACTCAGATGAAGATTACTAATACATTATTATTTACCACATAAAGCTATGATGACAGCTAGAATTAGCAATATAGAAAGAACGTCCTAGAAAATTCTGCGCTGGCATGACATTCTTTAAAAATTCTAAGATTCAAATAGATGATATTAATCAACAGTTTGCGAAAAAGTTTTTCAGGATAATTGTTATTACGGATTTCCAGCTTCCAAAATGTCGCACTAAATTGTTAAAGAAATCACCACTATATAATTATACAATTTGTTACTACACAAATAAATTACAATCGGAATGTGACATATCATGTCTAAGTGTAGCATATCATTTTCCGAGTCCTTATAAATAAATACTATAATTAATGGCATATTTTTAATATTTTTTCTGACAATTGGTTTTTGGTGGTGTTTAATTAAACCGTAGGATTTACTGTTCAAAATGTTACACATTAATAACAAACTTTGTGTATTTAAAATTGTTACATATAAAAGTAAGCCCAACGAATAATCGTTTATTAAAAGATGGCGATTTAAATCAAAAACAATCGATGCCATAACCTTTAATTTTAATTAGTGAAATTTATAAAAATAAAATAATAAATAACATTGTCTGCAGCTACAAAGTTACAATGTTATTGATACAATTAATAAGGTCTGGATTATTTAAAATCGTTACATGGTCACCATTTATTGTAACAACTTGTGGTAAATTCTCACTCACTTTTGATAACTGGTAGTCATCGTCGTCGTCAACCAACGAATACTTTGCCTTGAGTAAGTGTACTAAAGATTTGATTTTCTTTTCTCCAAATGTATAATTCATAATTGCTTTCAAACGTTTATATAGAGCAACAGGTATTTGTTTGTCTTGTTTGTCTAATTTCTGTTTGTTAGGGACTTCTGAAGGTATAAGAGCTAGAGCGACATCAATACGTTGTTCTAAATCTTTCGCCTTTAACAATGCTCCCTAAAAGACCAATAATAACAAACGATAACAAAAACAAATTACTGATATTACCTGATGCTCCGAAAGTACATCGAAAGGAATTACAATACTAAATACTTTATACACAATTGCCATTTGAAGTTCAGTGTCTTCCCTTCCCATATTTTCTTTTACACTAGAACTTAAATATGTCGGGGACCCATCTATCAGAATAACTGTGCCGAAGATTCCTCGGTCTTCCAATAAACTAACAAGTTCTAATGCAACTATAGTACCGAATGAATAACCAATCACAAAAAATGGAACATTTTTGGTTAAACGACATTCAATATGCTAAAAATTGATACACTTTTGAAACACGAAAACACACATGTGGAACTAAAACAAACCGAAATCATATTTTTTGCAATTTCTTCAATGCTATTTTCGGGATGTTTGTTGTTGTAACGTATTCCAACAACATGGGCCTTCAACGAACTGGTTAAAACCTCTAGCGGTTTGAAGGCTCCCTCGAACCCTGGTAACACAAATACTGTTGGAGCCTCTTCAGTGGATTGTACTTGGCTTGTTAATTGAACCACAGGTAAATCACTCGATTCGATATCAGAAATGAAATGAATGAGCAAATTTATGCCTTGCTGTGTTTTTTTACAAATTTAATTTTTTGTCAACTTTTCTGCCTCTATTTCAGCCAATCTGAAATGACGTAACAACGTTTGAGCTTAAGAGTTTAATTTTTAATGGCATGTTACTTTGCAAATGTTAAACTCCGAATATCCTTAGAAGTTACGTATATTTCAAAATCGTTTTCCAGAAGTTGAATAATTTCCGTGCCCATCATCGAATCCATACCAAGTTCTGCAAAGGTCGCATGCGGACTTACAGTTTTTATATCTTTTATTCCTATAATGTGGGCAATCGCGTCAACTGCAGTAAGAATGTCACCTTTGTAGTGTTTTTCAGCAACCACCATACTAGAAACAACTGGATAATTATGTTTTAATAGCACATCTAACACTTCAAAACAGCTTGAAATTTTTTGCTGCAGAGTTCCACCAATCACTAACTCTTTATGCTCCTTCTGCATTTTCGCTACTAAACCAACCTTTAACATACGTGTCATTTTAAGAAACTTTAAAAAATTATTAGTTACATCACCGACTGCTCCCCACTGAATAGCTACAGCAGGCAATCCTTCTCGTTTTCGATTCTCGCATATTCTTTCCATGACAGAGTTAGCCATACCATAGTTGCTCTGACCCGCATTACCGAGGCCACAAGAGACTGACGAAAACACAACAAAATATCTAGAACACATCGTATAAAATCATGTCTTGTGTTGGCGTTGATGGAAAACCTTAAATTTGGACAGAATTTCCTGCTAACTTTATCCAAAAATACCGTGGCGTGAGCTTTTGGTGTGAACGAAGCAAGGAAATTTTCTTTAGTCTGATCTTGGAATAGTGCATCCTGTAGGACAACAGCCAAATTAAAAATGGCATCGATTTGTCCCAGTTCGTTCGCCTCTTTAACTAGATCTTCACACTTTTGTTCAGTAGTCACGTCATTAGTACAAACTTTAACTTGGACGCCGTAGGATTTCCATATACTAGAATCGGTTTTTGAAAGCCAAAATTGAGTAAAACAATGTGCTTTACTTTATCCTTTGTTGGTGGTAACCACTTTGAAGTCCCGATCTGGAAGTTAGCACTAGCTTCCTGGCACCCCTTAGAACCAACCAATCACCAAGTTCTATACCTATTCCGCCTAGCCCACCAACAATGACGTATGTGTAACGCACGTCACAATTAAACCTTTAAACAAAATGCTATTTTACTTAGTTACCTCTTGTTAGATAATATACAGGGTTTTAATAAACGCTTCTGAGGGCGTGGTTAGTAATGGATTTCAAAAATTTCGCTTCGCTGTGGTAAGAAAAGGAAATTTTCTGTTGATACCTTCAGTATCTGAGGAAATCATCTTTGACAAGATTGTCTCAGCAGTCAGGAGTTCGTTCCTCTTGCAACATGAAATTGAAAAATGGGTCTAAAGCATTAATGAAAAGATGCTACAGAACATTTCTGAAATTGAAAAATGGGTGAACATGTGCCTTAAAGAAAATGGTGAAGATTTTCAACATTTACTGTAATGTTTAACCACAATAAATGTGTTTTGTTCGAAGCATTTAGGCAAACAGATGCGTGTGGTATTTGTCGTAAGTCCTTGGGCATTTAGTAAAGTTCGCATAAAGTGATAAGCGGCACGCTGCTATGACCTATTTCGACCTTCTAATCAAACTAATCATTTAAAAAAACCCTGTGTGTGTCAGCATCGTCGTCTTCGATCAGCGTAAAAGTGGTTTTGCCCAAATTGTGTAACAAACAATTCTACAGACTTATCACATTCTCAGCTTACGAAACACTTAATAATATGTCTTTGGAAACCATCGAGAAATATATTATAAATTATAACAAAACGTACGTAGGGACCACATTTCCTGAAAGTTTCAAATCAGTATTTTTTCCCTAACATAACGATTTCAGTGGGTGACGTAGGCTATTTTTGGAAGTTTATGTATTTGAAGCAATTTTTTCTCCAAGAAAATGATAGTTCAGAAACTTAAACTTTCGTTACATTTTCTATTGTATTAGTATTAGTACTAAATACCTGACAAAAATAAGCAAATTTGGTGTATTTCTATGGAACCATTCAGCAGTTTTCACTGATAGACTTATAATAACTTACCGTGGCTTAGAACTGATTTGAAATTTTTCAATCCCGTTATCGTCATGGTCAATATCTTCTTCATTTCTAAGTTTAACCAAAATTCTGCCAATATGTTGGCCTGACATCATATACTTGTACGATTCCTCTACTTGAGTTGCATTGAAACAAACTCTAGGCAGTGGTTTGACAAAGCCAGCCTTTATTCCTTCCAACAAACATTTTGTCAATTTAGAATTCGTTTCTTTAACTGACTTTCTGAACAACGCATCTAACACTATTCCATGATAAATGGCTTCCTTTTCCATGAGTAAAAGATTTAAATAACTATCATTAGCCAAATCATATTTGCCGAGTTCCATAAGTTGTCCCTTGCGAGCTAAACATTTAATTGATGCTTGCAACTTATCTTCACTTAGAGAGTTCAGAACAAAATCAACTCCTCTACTCTTAGTTTCCCTTTTGATCATTTGTTCAAATGACGTATCCCGTGAGTTTCCAATGTGGCTGTTCGGAATTTGAGGATAATGCTTATTTAAATAGGCCCTTTTCTTTTCATTTCCAACGGTTGCGTAAATGTCGCATTTATAGTGAAGGCATACGTTCAAAGCGGCCAATCCGATACCACCAGTCGCACAGTGAATAAGAATTGAACAACCCGATCGCATATGCCCAACCTGTTGGACAAAAATTTTTCTCTTATTAATAGACAGAACCTCCCTCGTTTCTGAAGTACAGTCAAACAAATTCAGTATTTTTTAAAAAATAGAAAAAAAGGTGTAACAATAAACTCGAAACTTTGCAAAACATTTGGTTGTACACTTTTAAAGCAAGATTGTTAAGTGTGCATGTTTTTCTGAACGCTGACAGTACGAAACAATAGGCTCCCCGTTTCCGTCTATGGCTTGGTCTCACTGTCTGCCGTCTGCCGTCTGCGCAGAATTGTATTTCGCGCGGAAGTTTAGGCGATAGCCTTCAGCAACTTTAGAATGCACCCTTGCGTTCAAATCTCCTCCTCGTCTACATTTAGATTTCTGTAAGACATTGAATTTGTTTGCATGTTTGACTTTAAATGTGAGGGAAGTCAGTCGAAATAACCTTCGACCTGTTTTTTCATACTCTACCAGTAAAAGAGCATAAAGAACGGTAATGTACACAGCAGTAATAGTGGCTGCATCTTCGAGTGTCCATGAGTCGGGTACTTGCCAAATTGTGGAAGAATCAACACTAACATCGGAAGAAATTCCTTGAGAGTTTGTTATCCCAGCTATCCGACAACCTCTACAAATGAATTGTATGGTTTTCTGTACAAAGATATGAATAATCCAACCTTAAATCTTTTCCTGAAAACTCAAACCCTGTTAGCACTTCTTGAGCCAGTCGATGTGGTTGTAATATTTCTGGGTTTACACGACCAGATGCAGCCATTATATCTTTAAAGTTAACTGGCGAATAATAAGTCTACAGAAAATAATAATCAGTTTAATATAATAACATGTGTCGTAATACAACTTACTAAACCCAACATTCGCCCTTCTGCAAGTAACGCTTCTCTGTTTAAAGGTCCTTCTAACCATTCAAAACTCGACATATTGCCTCTATGTTTGAAATACGCGTAGGAGTGTTCGCTATTGATTTTGGGAATTTCTTCCAAACGGAGATGTCTGTATGTGCCCCAAGACCCGTTCTTATATATATTTGTAGCCAAATTTCTACTAATTTGTTCGACATAAAACCAGTGCTGGGGGTCGAATTCTGGAGCATCGTCCATCATAAAAAAACACTTAACTAAGTTTCCGTCTCTTTCGCGTCTGATGCAGTTGATCAAACCCAAGATTCCTTCAGGTTGTTGGTTCGTTGCATAAGTGATTACATTATTCCTCTGACTTAATGAATTTTGTAATTCCGGTAGCCATTCGAAATTTCTCGAAGATACTTCAATAAATTTGGGCTTAGCAGTTGTCTCTTTTTTCCGCAATAAAATAATTCTTTCGTTTGGTGTTGTATAGTCCGTGAGAATTTCTACTCCATCAATATATGTTTCCACCGTAAAATTGATTTCCTCTCGTGTTAAGACAAAACCGTTTTCGCTAAGAGGCACGAAAAATTGTTTTAAAGTATTTGATTGTTGTAAAATTTTACTGCCGATATACAGAAGTATATTACTTTCCGGCGTTAAAGTAATTGTTTCGTATTTTATGCCAGGTGTGTCATTTACAGCTGCTTTAGACGAAACGGTAAGATCAGGGGCAACTACTGGAATATCTGCTAAGGCTTTGTTAACGAAACATAATATGTGTTCAGAATTTATATCAGTAAATTCGTTAATAATTTCCACAGCTTTAAAGTGATATTCCAAAGTATTTTCCAAGATAATCTGTGTATTGACCCTGACAACTTCTTCTAACTCTAAAGTCGTATTATTAGGAACGAAAACGTGTTTTTCTAAAACTGGTTCCAATCTTCCTTTCTTTCTAAAGACGGATTTAACATGAATTCCGTGTATTTCAATTCCACCAGACCTAAATAAAATAACTCTTTACATTAACGATATGTTTTTACGACCTAACTTACGTTATCATGTTAGAGTTCTTGCTAACATATGCGGGCAGAAAACACTCTTGTTTATTTTGGCTTTCAACGGCGTGTTTATGTTTGATAGGATCAATAATTATTTTCTTAATTCCAGTGGGAACGAAAAGTAATCTCGTATCTGTTTGAAGGAGTTGAAGCTGAAGCATATTATCCA